ACACAGACCCAAAAGGACTTTAGTTTTGCTTTCAGTTAGCTGGTGATCTTTGCTGGCTGCTGGAACTGAAAGCTTGAGTTCTCTGCGCTAGAGTGAAGTCTTAGACAGAGTGGCTATTTCCCACTTGGTGACACTTTTTGTTCTGCCTTTGTTGCCCTGGGACCTCCTCCAGATGCCCTCCTGCAGGGAGTTGGGGCCCTGTGCATCTCCATCTCAAGTTGTAAAAGGCAGCTGCTAGACACAGAGGCTGGGTTTGTTTGACTTTTCATACCAGGTAAGAGGGAAACTGCTCCCAAAATTGTTAGTTTTGTCACAGATTCATAGTATTAGGTCTAACTATGTATAACTTTATAAGTAACTTTATATTCAAGCTGATACTACAAATATTATAACAATTGGTAGAAATTAACATCCTTATTAAACTTTTGTACTAAGGTCAGCAATGGATATGTATTGCATGACCAAATTTGAAAAGTCATTAGTAATGAGCAAGGATACGACACAGCTGGCAAATGATTAGGAAGGGACATAACAATCCGTGTTGAAATGTTAGTTAATGGGGTCCATTATAAGGTCTCAAGGCCTGATGATAACGATGTCTGGTAAATATCATGAGATCATGGAGAACTTAAGGTTAATCATGAAGTTGTCCATCATTAATCGTGTATTCACAGGATTGGATGTGTGGGTCAGAGATGTTGCAAGCACGGATGTCAATGTTGCATTCAACCATTGTAATGCAGTATGTATAAATATCCTGTACTTTATTGGGAAAGGTAAGACTGTTTCTGACCTCCAATTTGAGCTGTTATTAAGAGGGAAACTGGGCCCCACGTGAAAGCCAGACTTGGAGAGGTCTCTAGCCTCACCCATTCTTGTCGTAAAACAGCTCTGAATAAAGGTCACTTGAACTGCTGAACACAGAACTGGAGACTCCTCTTAGACCACTCTCTCCAACATTTGCCTTTATTAGCTGAAATGTAAAAGATGTTACAATGGAACTGTGTAAAACATTGGTTGTACCATAACTGGAGTCATAGAATCATACAGATTCAGAAGCAGACCCCTCAGTCCAACTCATCTATGCCAGATATCCTAAATCAATTTAATCCCATTTGGTCCATATCCCTTTAAACCCTTCCTATTCATATACCCATCCAAATGCCTTTGAAATATTGTTATTGTACCAGTCTCCACCATTTCCTCTGGTAGCTCATTCCATATGCAAACCACTCTCTGTGTGGAAAAAGTTGCCCTTTAGGTCTGTTGGAAATCCTTCCCCACTACTTTAAACCTATGTCCTCTAGTTTTGAACACCCATACCCTGGGAAAAAGACCTTGGTTATCTTGCCCTTCATTCTATAAATGTCTATGAGGTCACCCCTCAGCCTCTGATGCTCCAGGGAAAATAGCCCTGACCTATTCAGTGTCTCCCTGTAGCTCAAACCCTCCAACGCTGTTAACAGTTCTGGTCACATTATTGAAAGGTTGTGATTGCACTCAAGGAGATTCACCAGGATGTTGCCTTGGTAAGACTGTCTGAGCTGAGAAAAGATTGGAAAGTCTAGGTTATTTTTCTTGGAGTAGCAAAGGTTGAGAAGGGCCGTGATGGAGGTATGTAAGATTATGAGGGCCAGAGATAAGAGGGATGAAAAAATATGTTTTCCATTCAAAGATGTGTCAATAACCAGGGGCCATAGGGATACAGGAAAACAGAAGAGTTGAGTAGTATTATTTTTTGGAAGGTGGAGGAAGTCTGTAACTGAATGGGGAACTGATTCAGAAAGTCTTCAAACACAGGCGACACGGTGGCTCAGTGGTTAGCACTGCTGCCTCACAGCACCAGGTGACTGTCTGTGTGGAGTCACATTCTCCACGTCTGCATGGGTTTCCTCCCAGTCAAAAGATGTGCAGGTTAGGTGGATTGGCTATGCTAAATGCAAGTTGGAGGGATTATCCATGGGAAATGCATGGTTACCAGGATAGAGCAGGGGGGTGAGTCTGGGTGGGACGCACTTCGGATATTTGGTGTGGACTTGTTGGGGTTGAACGACCTGTTTTCACACTGTAAGGATTCTATGAAAAAATGATGGACTGAAAGGTCTCCTTTGAGTCATAGGCAGTTCTAAGTGGTTTTCTCAAAGCCACCCATGAACAACATACGTGGATGTGCACATTTCTTACCCTTGGAATGGGTGGCAGAATTTAATATAACCAAGTAGCAAAGCCTTTCATTCTTAAAAAGGAAGTTTTATTTCACGCTCCAAATCTAAAGGTTACTTACTAAAAAACAAACCACATACACCACCCCCTACAGATAATTACAAATGAAAATAAGAACAATACTTGAAGTCTGTCTGTATTGTTTGATACAGGGCTGGTAATTGAAGGTTGAGATGCTGCATTTCAAAGTCAATGAATGGAAATTTGAGGATTGTCTCAGTTGCCAAAATGGCTTCCACTATTGAATTACTGAAGTTTGGTTTCATGGGTAAGTTTAGCATTTGCAACACAACCAGGAGAAAGGGAGGTCCCTTGATTTTGCTTTTGTGGCAGTGAAGGTGTGGCCCTTGGCAGCCTGGTTAACTACAGCAAGTCCAGTTGTTGTGTCTTGTTTGCCTTCTTTCTCTCTGATACAGACTACTCCTCTGAGGCAGTATCAGTATGTCTCTCACATGGTGTATGTCTCATCATGTTTCAAAATGATTTTGAGTCCAGGTAACTTTACTTGTCTTTTAAATACCTTTGGCAGATGAATCAAGATGATAGCTGTCTCAAAATGCCAAACATGCTCCCAAATAAAGTGGTATACCTCTTGCAATTTCAAATTCTTCCATCACCTGCACTGTTCAAGGAGGGCAAGCTTTTTCACATCTTAAAGTTCATACAGTGAAGACCTTTGCACTTGAATGAAAACAATTAAGACAATGAATTTCTATTCACCCTTGCAGAAATGCTCACCGAATTTCTAATGTCATCACATCTGGTAATATTTCTTCATAATCCACTTGGAATCTTTCTGAAAGCTTTACAAATATTGAAGTTGTAAAAAGTCAGATGACCCTTAGAAGCCCATCCACCGGTGTCCTATTTTAAGAGAATATTTGCTAAATCTGTTTCATCCTAACTGCACACAGCATGCCGTAATAATAAACACCACAGTAATTATCAGACTAAACTTTTTTTAAAATCATTCATGTGATGAATACGGGTTACCAGTATTTATTGCCCATCCCTAATTGCCCTAAGGGCAGTTAAGAGTCAACCATGTTGCTGTGGATCTGGAATCACATGTAGGACAGACCAGGTAAGGATGGCAGTTTCCTTCCCTCAAGGGCATTAGTGAACCAGACGGGTTTTACCATCAATGTGGCATTTCATAAATTTTTACTTCAGAAATAAAACCAGTCTGACTCCAAACCAAAACACAAACCGATTCTAAACAAGGCCTCACACATAACATGCATTGTCCGACCTGAAATTTCACCTCTTCTCTATACTGATAAAACCTTTAGCTCTCTCAGGACAGTGACTTGAAAGAAATTTGGGGATTTACATATACATATTAGTCAATTAAAACCTTCTAATTGATGAAAGATTTAACAGCATCTTAGGCTTGTATAATATATCCTCATCAGTGGTGTGACCCTCTGCTCTTTTATTTATAAATAAAGTAAGTGTCTGTGTCTGATACTACCTCTTTCAATAAAACCTGAGGGAGGAGTGAGGCTTTGAAAGCTTGTGTTTTCAACCTGTCGGACCATAACCAGGTGTCGTGTGATTTCTGACCTTGTCCACCCCAGTTCAACTCCGGCACCTCCACATCGTTAGACTCTTAATTCCAGATTTTTATTGAATTCAAATTCCACCATCTGCCATGGCAGGATTCAAACCCATGTCCCCAGAGCATTACCTGGAATAATACTCCAGCAATAAACCTGTCGGACCATAACCAGGTGTTGTGTGATTTCTGACCTTGTCCACCCCAGTCCAACTGAAACTGTGGGTGGCACGGTGACTCAGTGGTTAGCACTGCAGCCTCACAGCGCCAGGGACCCAGGTTCGATTCCAGCCTCGGGTGACTGTCTGTGTGGAGTTTGCACGTTCTCCCCGTGTCTACGTGGGTTTCCTCCGGGTGCTCCTGTTTCCCCCCACAGTCCAAAGATGTGCAGGCTAGGTGGATTGACCATGCTAAATTGCCTGTAGTGTTCAGGGGGATGGGTCTGGGTGGGATGCTCCAAGGGTCAGTGTGGACTTGTTGGACTGAAGGGCCTGTTTCCACAGTGTAGGGGTTCTATGATAATACCTCTAGACCATTGCCTCCTCACTTGCTGCTACACTTTATCAGGGACAGCTTAACATTAATCTCTGGTTTGACAGCATATTTCCAGCAGTGACCATTATTCTTCCTGACTCTAAACACAGATAGTTCCATATCCAGGAGCTCTGAACCATGGAGAAAAAGAGCAGCTGGAGTACATTTCTTACACACCTTATGATAAACTCACATATGGACCTTGTTGCTCCTTCTCACCTCACTTCATGACAATGTGTTTTTTGTCCCTCAGTGTGACCCTAAGGAATACATCCAGGCTGAAGTTTAGTTTCTGCAGTATGATCCCACATCCGGTCCCGCACTCCCCACCCACCATCACCCTTCAGCTGTTTTTAAGCACTGGTCTAGATTTTTGTCATCTATAGCTAGTGTTTAAATCAAAGATTAGACATTTATCCACAATGTTCAACTTTGGCTCAGTCACTGAAAGTTTTAACCTCAACAAAAACTGTCAGAATGAAAATGGTTCAGTCATGAATGTGATGAACAGTATCAAAACCACCAACTGTAACCCACACAGTTGTTTGTTAACTCTGGTGTGCCAGAAGCTGAGATGACTGAGTGAAACTCTGGAACAGGTTAAATGTCTCTTACCTGTATGAATATGTTTGTGTCAGCAGATCCATTTTACTGCTAAGTTTCAGTTCACCGAACTCTGGAAACATTTTCTTATCAGTGTGAGCAAGTTTAATGGAGGTTCAAACACATATTACACATGATTGGCCCTTCTGTGTGCTAGTAGATACAAAGTTCACATGATCCACTGAACCTAGTACTCAGTGAGAGCAGCTGAACAGTCTATTGTCAGTATATTATATGTTGATAGCAAATCAACTTTACAGAATTTTTATAACACATTCCACAATCCAACTATTTTAAAAGGTCTTCCATCAGTCTGAATCACTACCATAACAAAAGATTGGGTGTATTCACATTTATGGAGGACAGAATAATCTCTCTCTGGTGTGAACTCACTAGTGTTGCAGCAGAATGGACAATTGCCTGAACCTCATTCCCCAGTGAGAACAAATGAATGGAGTGCATCCAAAGTGAGTGCACTAGTGCACCATCAGTGATTATAATTTTTTAAAGTCCCTATTGTCACAGTCAATTAAACCCTTTCCCTTCAGGTTGTTGTGTATGTAGGCTGGATGAAGAAAGATGTAAGTTTAGAGGCAGTTTTGGCTCAGTGGCTAAATGAATGAGGGGGAATGGTACAGGCAGCTGATGAAATTGCCTCAATCTTAATGATAAAGAGTTCATGAACTCCTCACACTTATTCTTGCAGGTGAAGATGGAGCAGGCAGGGGAGAGAGAGAGAGAAATGTATCATAGAGGTACAAAAAGATTCAAAACTCTGTCCAAAAGCAGATATATTTGATTTTTGTCCAGAGTTTTAATCTTTTAACTAGGATGCAGTTATTCAGCCATAACAGATACACGCCCCAATAAACATTGGTCAGTCGTGGATGTGATGAACAGCAAAATTCGATTAATTACAGGAATTCGTGAACTCGTTGGTGTCTCAGCAAGGCAGCTGAACGAGTGAATGCCTTCCCACACTGGGAGCAAGTGAATGGCCTCTCGCCAGCGTGCACTCGCTGATGTGCAATCAGCTGAGATGATCGCCTGAACTCAGTGCCACACTGAGAGCACCTGAATGATCTCTCGTCAGTGTGAACACGATGATGCCGCATTAAGTCCCTGGAACGTTGAAAGCACTTCTCACACTTTGTGCATTTAAAAGGTCTCTCGTCTGTGTGAACTCGTTGGTGACTCAGCAAATTGGATGAATCAGTGAATCCCTTCCCACACTCAGGGCAAGTGAATGGCCTTTCCCCAGTATGAACACGCTGGTGTTTCAGCAGGTTGGATGACTGAGTGAATCCTTTTCCACACGTGGAGCATGTGAATGGTCTCTCTCCAGTGTGAACCCGCTGGTGTGTCAGCAGATAGGATGACCGAGTGAATCCTTTCCTGCACTTGGAGCAGGTGAACGGTTTCTCCCCAGTATGAACTCGCTGGTGTGTCAGAAGGGTCGATGAATGAGTAAATCCCTTCCCACAATCTGAACAGGTGAATGGTCTCTCCCCACTGTGAGTTCGTTGGTGTATTAGTAGGTCAGATGACTGAATGAATCCCTTCCCACATTCTGAGCAGCTGAATGGTCTCTCCCCGGTGTGAATTCGCTGGTGTACAGTGAGATGAGATGATCGCCTGAATCCAGTCCCACAGTGAGAGCACCTGAATGGTCGGATGTCAGTGTGAACATGTTCATGCTGTATCGGTTCTTTGAAACTTTTATATAAGCTCCCACAGTGTGAACATTTAAAAGATCTCACATCACTGTGAACTCCCTGGTGATCCAGCAGACTGGATGACTGAATGAATCCGTTGCCACACTTGGAGCAGGTAAATAGCTTCTCCCTAAGATGACTGTGCCAATGAGATTGTAACTCAGATGAATGTCTGAATTCCTCCCCACAGTCCCCACGTTTCCATGGGTTCTCCCCAGTGTGACTGGATATTGACAGGTTAGCTGAAGCAATGTACAGTTTCTCCTCACTGTACATAATCTTCTTTCCTTCCATATTCAAAACGCAATAATATCAAATTGTGAAAAATTGAGCGATTGTTGGATCCTGATGTGATGATTGGTTCACTGGAACTGCAACTCCTCCCCTTGTAATAACCTATGACACTGAGTTAAAACAGAAAAATAAAGTGAGAGAGATTTCATAAAAACACAAATTTAGCTGAATGAATCTGGCAGTTTGTACAGCCAACATTAGGGGAAAGTGACCATGGATGCTGCTAGATTGCTATTAAAACCTAACTGATTCACTATGGTCTTCAAGGGACAGGAATCTGCTCTAAACTGTGAAATCAATTGGTGGGTGGTGGGGTGGGAGGGAGGAAGGGGGAAGGAAAGGAAAGAGATGAAGGGGAGGGATTTCACATACCTACAAATCAACCAGAACTTTGACTAGACCTCCTAAACCCTCAACCTCGCATCACCTAGCGGGATCAGGGTAGTTGGCATAAGCAAAACACCATCACTTCGAAGTCATACACTATTCTGACTCTTCAATTCATCCAATACTTGATGTCAGACATTTCTTCCATTTAAATATTGGAAAGACCAAAGTTATTGTCTCCAGTTTCTGAATAAATTACACTCCTTATGGACTTCATCCCTTGTCCCTGGCAACTGCCTTGAATTGAACCAGACTATTCACAATCATCATGAAATATTTCACCCCAAGATGACTTTCCAACCACATATCCCACCATTGCAAAGACCAATAATCTCCATCTCAATAACACCACCTGATTGGGCCCAAGTCTCTCAGATCATCCATGGCAAAAAGTTTCACCCATTCATTCCTTTCCTTGACTGCTGTACTCGCAGTCAGCCTCTCATATTCAACACCCCACAGTCAGCCATTTTGTGTAGTATATCTATTTATTCACACTGCTCTTGTTCACACATCACCTCTGTGCTCATTAATTTACAAAGATTCTGTATTTAGTAGCACACAATTTATAAATTCTCAAGGAAATATTCAATGAATGGCAGGACACGAGGAAACTCAGAAGAACTAAGGGATCTTGGAGTACTTGTCCACAGATTTCTGAAAGCTGCATGTTAACAAGGTAGCTAAGACGACATACGGGATGCATGCCTTTATCAGTTGTGGCATAGATTATAAGAGCAGAGATATTAAGTTGGAGCTGTACAGGACTTTGGTTCAGCAACTGCTGGAGTGCTGTGTGCAGTTTTGGTTGCAAGATGGTGCGAAAGATGTGATTGCACGGGAGAGGACGCAGAGGAGATTCACCAGAATGCTGCCTGGGATACAGCATCTTACCAAGGAGAGAAGCTGGATAAACTTAGGTTGTTTGCTTTTCAGCAGAGAAGGTTGAGGGGGTCCTGATAGATAAGTACAAACTTCTGAGGAGTATGGACATGCTGAACAGAAAATAGCTGTTCCTCTTAGTTGAAGGGCAATAACAATGGATCCCATATTTAAAGTGAAAGGCAGGAGGTTTAGAGGGGTGATGAGGAAAAAATATTTTCACCCAGAGGGTGGTGGGGGACTAGACGGTCGTTGAGGCAGGTAACCTCTCAAACTTGTAGAAGGTACACAGATGACCACTTTAAGTGTCATAACATTTAGATTTAGTATATTTTTGGCAGTACAGACTCAATGACCTGAAGGGCCTCTTCTGTACTGTATGATTCTATGATTCATCCTAGAGTTCCTCCACTGTTGTGATCATCTCTATTTCCGTGTTATCCTGAAGTCACTAAATTTTCAGGATTTCTGCAAATCATCTAAGTCTGGTCTTCAGCATTCTTGATTTTAATCATTCCACCATTGGTGGCTGTGCTTTCAGTTGGCGACTGTTGGTATTTAAAGTTGAAAAGGCACCAGGACCAAATGAGTTGCATCCAAAGATTTTGAAGGAAGTGAGAGTGGAAATTACAGGGGCATTTGCCACAGTCTTTCAGTCTTCCCTAGATTCGAGGAAGGTATCAAACTTGCAGACATCAAGGCCCAGCATTTACAGATGAGTAAGTTTACCTTCAGTAAGAGGGAAGATTCTGGAGACAATTATTCAATTAGATTTGTACTTACATGGAAAAAGGTGGTTAATTACAAAGAGTCATAATTGATTTCTAAAGGGGAAAATTAAGTTTAACCAACTTGCTGGCCTTTTTTTTTTTGGAGGGTTGAATGGCCTGATGTCACATAACAGATTTGTGACTAAAGTTATAAGTTATGGAATAAAAGTCAGTAGCATCATGGATACAAATTTAGCTGAGCAACTAGGAAGCAGAGAGTAATGGTCAATGGATTTTTTTTTTAGGGCTGGAGTAAGATTTTCAGTGGAGCTCACAAGCAGTTGGTTTTGGGACCCATGCTTTTATTGATATATTAATGGCCTAGATCTAGGTGTGCAGGGAACATTTCAAAGTCTGCAGATGACACAAAATTTGGAAGAATTGTAAACTGTGAGAAGGACAGTTTTGAACATCAAAAGCACATTGACAAGTTTGTGGTGTGGGCAGATAGGTTGCAGATAAGGTTCAATGTAGAGAAGTGTGAAGTGACTTATTTTCGTGGGAAGAATGCTGAAAGACAACACAAAACAGGGTGCACAGTCTAGGGGGTTGGGGCCTAGTGTGGAGGTGCAAAGGGACGTAAGTGCACTGATCACGGAGCGTGGCAGGAAAGGGAGACAGAGCAGTAAGTAAAGCATACAAAATTCTTAGTGTTATTAATAGGGGCATAGAGTTCAAGAGCAAGTAGGTGACGGTGAACTTGTACGAGACCTGTTGGATGCGGCAATGTATAATAGGGGACAAAGAAATGGCTGTGGAACTGAATACATACTTTGGTCTGTCTTCACAAAAAAAGGACACAAATCAGATACCAGAATTGTTTGGAGGATGCAGGATTAAGTAAGAAGGAAGAACTGAGTGAGACCAACGTTAGTAAAGAAATGGTGCTGGGAAAATTGTTGGGATTGAAGGCCGGTAAACCTCCAGGGCCTGATAATCTACATCCCAAAGTACTTCAGGAAATAGCTCTAGAAATAGTGGATACATTGGTGGTCGTCTTCCAGTATTCTATAGACTCTGGAACAGTCCCTGCAGATTGAAGAGTGGCTAATGGCACTACAATATTAAAAAGGAAGGTAGAGAGAAAACAGGGAATTATAGACCAGTCAGCCTAACATTGGTAATGGGGAAAATTCTCAAATCCATTGTTAAGGATTTTAGAGCAGAGCATTTAGAAAGCTGTGGCAGGATCAGACAGAGTCAGCATGGATTTATGAAGGTGAAATGATCCTTGTCAAGTCTGTTGGAATTCTATGAAGATATAACTAGTCGAGTTGAAAAGGGGGTGCCAGTTGATGTCGTATATTTGGTCTTTCAGAAAGTGTTTGATAAAATCCAACATTAGAGATTAATGTGCAAAATTAAAGCGCGTGGCATTGGGGGGGTGGGGGAAGTGTACTGAGATGGATAGGAAACTGGTTGGTAGAGAGGAAAGAAAGAGTAGGAAATTAATGGGTCCTTTTCAAATTAGAAGGCAGTAAACTAATGGGGTGCCACAGGGATCAGTGCTGGGACCCCAGCTATTCACAATATATTTTAATTATTTGGATGGGGGAACAAAATGTAACATCTCCAAGTTTGCAGATGATATCAAGTTGGGTGGGAGGGTGAACTGTGACAAGGATGCAGAGATCATCAGCATGATCTCGACAGGTTGCGTGGCTGGGCAAATCAATGGCAGATGCAGTATAATTTGGATAAATGTGAGGTTATTCACTTTGGAAGTAAAAACAAGAAAGCAGATGACTACCTGAATGGCTGTAAATTGGGAGAGGGGAGTGTGCAGTGGGACCTGGATGTCCTTGTGCACCAGTCGCTGAAGGTAAGCATGCAGGTGCAGCAGGTGGTAAAGAAGGCAAATGGTATGTTGGCCTTCGTAGCGAGAGGTTTTGAGTACAGGAACAGGGATGTGTTATTGCAGTTTTACAGGGCCTTGGTGAGACCATATCTAGAATATTGTGTGCAGTTTTGGTAGCCTTTTCTGAGGAAGGATGCTCTTGCTCTCGAGGGAGTGCAGCAAAGGTTTACCAGGCTGATTCCAGGGATGGCGGGTCTGATGTACGAGGAGAGATTGATGAGGTTGGGATTGTTTTCACCAGAGTTCAGACGAATGAGGTGGGGGGATCTCATAGAAACTTATAAAATTCTAATAGGACTGGACAGGGTAGATGCAGGGAGGATGTTCCCGATGCTGGGTGTGTCCAGACCAGGGGTCACAGTATGAGGATTCAGGGTAGACAATGTAGGATGTAGATGAGGAGACATTTCTTCACCCAAACAGCCAGTGGAATTAATTACCACAGGAAGTAGTTGATGCCAAAACATTGAACGTATTCAAGAGGTGACTGGATATAGCACTTGGGGTGAATGGGATCAAAAATTATTGGGAGAAAGCAGGACTAGGTTATTGAGTTGGATGATCAGCCAGGATCAAGAAGAATGGCAGTGCAGGTTAGAAGGGCCGAATGGCCTCCTCCTGCTCCTATCTTTTATGCTTCTAAGATAAGGAAAAAGAATAAAAAAAAAATGAAGGATTTCAGGCATACCAGCAGTGAAAACTCCAGAGATCAACCTTCGTCAAAGTTGAGGACCCTATGCTTAGAAACATGGAGATTACACCGAGTACTTGGGGAATGTCTTTGCCTGCCTGAGCTCCTATTTTTCGGTATTAGCCTTTAAATTCTTTGACCATTCAGGGAATATCAGAGAAACCAAATCATTAGAATCCCTACAGGCCATTCAGCCCATCGAGTCCACATCGAACCTCCAAAGAGCATCCCACCCAGACACACCCCCTACCCTAACTCTGCATTTCCCTCCCTTGACATAATGGGCAATTTATCATGGCCAATCCACCCGAGTTGCATATCTTTGGACTGTGGGAAGAAACTGGAGCACCTGGAAAAAACCAACGCAGAGACAGGGAGAATGTGCAAACTCCACATTGACTGTTGCCCATGGCTAGAATCGAACCCGGGTCCCTGGTGCTGTGAGGAGCAGTGCTAACCATTGAGCCAAATGGGTGTGCACGTAGATTTTAGTCTTGTATGAATCGCATGCCTGCTATTAACCCTTTCTTAAACAAATGGTGTGAATTGTGTATCTGTTTTAACTAAACTAAAGTTAGTTGTTCGTTGATACAGAACTGACTCTTTTCCTCCGTGCTGAGCTAATAGTTGTTGTCAAGGGCGATAACCAGGCAAATGAAAGAAGGAAGCACATGTCAGTTACAGTGCATTTAAAACAGGGGCGATGCTTCAAAAGTATAGTGTAAGAAGTTGCTTAAAAAGGCAATCTGGAGGGCAAAGACGGACCACAAACTTTCTTTTATAGATGGGATTAAGAAAATCCCAATGTTACCAGCAAGAAGACTGCCAAGAGTAGAATCTTATTAGAAGCTGAAGAGTCAACCTGTGTATGGTGCTGGAAGACAAGGGCGGGGTTTTAAAACAAATACTTCTCATCCATATTCACAAAGGAGAAAGATGTTGTAGTTGGGACGGTGAGTTTCCAGGACATGTTAAGATGAATAAGGAGAAGGTATTAGATGCTTCAGCAGGCATACAGGGCATATCCCCAGGACCTGATGAGATATATGCCAGGCTGCTATGAGGCAAGGGTGGAGATTGCGGGGGCCCTGGCAGAGATATTTGACATTTTGCTGGCCACAGGTGAAGTGCCAGTTGATTGGAGGATAGCTAATGTGGCTCCTTTGTCCAAGAAGGGCAGCAGGGATATGCCATTAATTATAGACCAGTCATTCTAACATGAGTGTTAGGGAGATTATTGGAAACAATTCTGAAGTACAGAATGAATCAATACTTGGAAAGGCAGGTATTGATCAAGGAGAATCATCATTCATGGGATGTGGGCATCACTGGCTAGGCCAGCATTGCCCATCCCTAATTGCCTAGAGAACAGTTAAGAGTCAACCACACTGCTGTGGGTCTGGACTCACATATAGGCCAGCAGTATTCTTCCCTAAAGGACATTAGTGAACCAGATGGGATTTTCCTGACAATTGGCAATGGACTCATGGCCGTCATTAGACTCCTAATTCCTGATTTTTATTGAATTTGAACCCTATCATTTGCCATGGCAGGATTAAAACCTGGGTCTCCCAGAACACTGACAACAGTGTGGAGCTGGAGGAGCACAGCGGGCCAGGCAGCATCAGAGAAGCAGGAAACCTAACATTTCCGGTCAGGACCCTTCTTCAGAAAAAGGGGAGGGGGAAGGGAGCTCTGAAATAAATAGAGGGGTGGAGCTGGAGAAGGTAGGTGGGATGGTGATAGGTGAGTGCAGGTAGGCAGTGGTGGGGATTGGTCAGTGAGGTGGGAGAGAAGACGGATAGGTTGTGTCAGGTCAAGGGGGTGGGGATGAGGACCTTCCCCAGAAGATTACCTGGGTCTCTGGATCAACAGTCCAGTGATAATATCACTATGTCATCACCTCCCCTGTTCAAGGGAAATTTTGTCTGACTAACTTAATTGTGCCTTTTTGATTGTATATTTTAATGAGCATAGTGCAGTTGATGAGATAGATGTCAGTATGGCCTTTGACAAGGTCCAACATGGAAGACTGATCCAAAAGGTAAGAATCCATGGGGATCCAAGGCAAGTTGGCAAACTGGATCCAAAATTGGCTTACAAACTGGAGGCAAAGGGTGACTGTGTAGGGTTGTTTTTGTAATTGGAAGCCTGTGGCCAGTAGTTTACCACAGGGGACCAACTTAGATGTGAACTCAAAAATTTGCAGATGACATAAAAATTGGGGGTGTTGTTGAAAGTGAAGAGAATGGTCTGAGGATATAGTCTGATATTGATCAGCTGATAAAATTGGGCAGAGCAATGACAGGTGGAATCCTGTTAAGTGTGAGGTGATGCAGTTTGTGAAATCTAATAAGGAAGGATATGCACAATGAATAATAGCTCCTAAGGGAGTACTGAGGAACAAAGGGACCTTGGTATACAAGTCCATACATCTGTTCAGCACAGATGGGGTAGTGAACTTGGTGTAGTATACATAAGCAAGGAAGTCTTGTAAAAGCTTTAGAATACGTTGGTTAGGCCACAGATGGAACATTGTGTATAGTGGCTACAGTATTGGAACGATGTGATTGCACTAGACAGGGTGCCGCTGAGATTCACCACGATGTTTCCTGAGATGAAAAGTCTCAAGAGTTCGGATACATGGCTTGTTTTCCTTGGAGCAGAGCACGCTGAGGGGGAAATCAGATTGAAGTCTACAAAATTGAGAGGCTAAGACAGAACAGATTATGAGAATATATGCCCCATGGTAGACATGTCTAAGACCAGAAGGCATAAATTTAAGGCTAGGACTGAGTGGCTTTAAGGTGATCTAAGGAAACCTTTTTCACTCAGAGGGTGGCAGATATATAAAACATGGTGCCTGAGACAGTGGTGGAGGCAAATAGTCTCATGATATTGAAGCAACTGGACGAGTACCTAAAATGCCAGGGCACACTTGGCTATGAACCAAGTGCAGGTAAATGGGATTAGTGTAATATTGACTTTTTTGGTTGGCATAGACAGTGGGCTGAAGGGCTCGTTTCTAGGCTGTATGAATCCCTCTATGACTTAAGCCTCATTGCAGTCCATAAATTTGATTTGAGGGTGACTCAGAATGGTGACTTTCTGCTATTGTTCTTCCTGTGACTGTACAGACTCCCAGCTGTCTGAACACATGGAGCAGGATGTCCCATCAGAAAGTGCCACAGAAATGCAGGGTTTGCTTCCTTTACTTACAGATACTTACTTACTAAATCTTTCATCGCCATGTCGCAACAATCAGAAACTGGAATTCAAAGTGTGAAACAACTTAAATGGACAATTTGTTCCATTCTGTCATGACAAAATTCTCAAGGTATCCTCCCCTACAAAGATGGCAAAACCGCACATGCGCCCCGTTACACAAAGCCCCCCTACTAAGCCAGCAATTGCACATGCGCCCCGAACTCGACCCCATATACATTCCACCGAGGAAACCCGGAAGTGAGGCAATCCATCTCAACAGACCCCAGACCTTAAAAACCAGGCGGGAAAACACACCGACGCTTCATCGGAGGCTGCGCTGAGGATGTTACCAAGCATGGTAACGAAACGCTTGCAAAACAACAAACCAGCTCGGCGAGGCAACCAACCTCAAAGCTCCCTACTAAGGTGGCAAAACTGCACCTGCGCCCCGTGACACAAAGACCCTACTAAGATAGCAACTGGACATGCGCTCCGTTACACAAAACACCCTACAAAGATGGCGGCCCCGGCTGAGTCCTGAGGTTCAGCGCATGGCGGGGTTAACTAGGAAGAAAGTCTAGAGTTATCCTGCTACAAATAAGGACTGGTAGGTTTCCATTCTGAGTTTGAGAGTGATCTAAGATGTTTACAAAGCGTCTTAGTCCCCTCGCAGAATTAGTCATTCCCGACAATCCGCCTGCACTCACCGTTTGTTCATCCGAGGAAAAGCCAGCTTCCCTTCCGGAGCTCCTTCAGTGCACGGACAATCACCGCGCGTGCGCACTGTTCTCCTGTGGTCTGTCTCGGAGATGTGCAGCCTGTGGATTGTTCAGTAAAAACCTTCCAATTTCATACTCCACTTATTGTACCGCCACTAACTTCTCCGTTACCGATTGGTGACTGGGCCATACGAGACTCCTCTTTCCCAAAATAGTTCTCGGTTAACAAGTCTTCTGGTTGCCCTTGATAGCTGCTTTTCGTTGCCCTGATTGGCCAACAGCTACTGATTGCATGATCTAGAATTATAAGGGCATATTCATTTTGAATCCTGCATGCTGCACGCAGCAGGATGAAGCATTTTACAAACTGCGAAATTAGCTCAGGAGAATATTGCTCTGAAGGCGACTTTAAATCGCAAAATTGTTACAGCACAAAGTGGCTATTTGGGCCATTGTGATTGCACCTGCTCTGGAAATGAACATCTCACCTTCTATTATCCCCCTGGTTTCTCCCCATAACCTTGCCACGTTGTTCCTTTTCAGATAACCAGCGAATTTTCTTTTCAATGTCTTGAATTTGCCTCCACCTTAAGCTCAGGCTGTACCTTATAATTCACTCCATGAAAACGGTTTTCACTTACCGTTTTTGCTTCTCTTGCTAATTTACTTAAATCTTTGTGTTTTCTCTGCCCAGGCCTCTCGTGGTTGTGAACATAATTTCATTCAGCCTTCCTTTCTCTTAAGGAGTACACTCCTAGTTTTTCCAATCTATCTTCATAACTGAACTGCATCAGCCCTACAACCGTTTCTGTAATCCTATTCTGCATTCTTTCCAATGATTTAACATCCCTCCTAAAGTTCTTCCCAGAAGTGGATGAAATGCTGTAGCTCAAGCCTAACTAGTGTTTTATGTAAGTTCAAAAAACCTCCTTTATTTTATACTTTGCCCCTCTTTTAATAAAGTCTAGAATACCATATGCTTTAATAATTACTCGCTCAATCTGTACTGCGATATTTAATAATCTGTGCATGCATACACCCAGGTCCCTCTGCTTCTGCACATTGCTTAGAGTTGTACCCTTCAGTTTGTACTGTCTCTGTTTTTCCTATGAAAATGAATTACTTCTCACTTTTTACTTATTGAGCTGCTTCTGCCACATATCTACCCACTCTACCAAATTGGCTGTCCTTTCGAATGAGATGTCAGACTATCTGCCTTTCAGTTTAAAATGCTTCCAATAATTTCATTTCCAAATTGTGAAATTGTGCTCTATGCTCCAAAGTATACATTATTTATATATCAGGAAAAGCAAAAGTCTGAACACCAACCCCTGCACAACTCCACTGCAAACCTTTCCCAACTGGAGCTTACCATGCTGGGGATTGAAGAGGTTAATCCTTTGGCATTTGTGGATGCTTAATACAAGCTCCTATGAGTGATTTATTTATGAGTTACTGAGGTGAATTTAGTTCAACAGAGCTTTCAGGCTGTCAAATGCCTTTATCACTGAAATTTTCAGCGCTTCTTCAACAGGTCAGTCAGTGGAGCAAGGCACACTGCTAAAATTCGGTATGAATTTTCAATAAAAACCACTCAGTCCCTTGAATCGTAGTACTTCCCTTTTCATTGACAGCATGGGAAACTCCCCAATAACCTTTGTTTTCATGTCCAATGATGTGGCCTAGGAATGTGACTCAC